AGGACTCTAAAAAGAAAAATGAACTGAAGTGTAATACATGGCTTAAGAAATAGAGGACTAAAAGAAGAAAAATGAACTAAAGTATAATACATGGCTTAAGAAATATAAGACTCCAAGAAGAAGAATGAACTACAGGTGTAATACATGCCTTAAGTAATTATAGGACTCCAAGAAGAAGAATGAACTACAGGTGTAATACATGCCTTAAGAAATTATAGGACTCCAAGAAGAAGAATGAACTACAGGTGTAATACATGGCTTCAGAAATTATAAGACTCCAAGAACAAGAATGAACTACAGGTGTAATATATGGCTTAAGTAATTATAAGACTCCAAGAAGAAGAATGAACTACAAGTGTAATATATGGCTTAAGTAATTATAGACTCCAAGAAGAAGAATGAACTACAAGTGTAATATATGGCTTAAGTAATTATAGACTCCAAGAAGAAGAATGAACTACAAGTGTAATACATGGCTTAAGTAATTATAGACTCCAAGAAGAAGAATGAACTACAAGTGTAATATATGGCTTAAGTAATTATAGACTCCAAGAAGAAGAATGAACTACAAGTGTAATACATGGCTTAAGTAATTATAGACTCCAAGAAGAAGAATGAACTACAAGTGTAATATATGGCTTAAGTAATTATAGACTCCAAGAAGAAGAATGAACTACAAGTGTAATACATGGCTTAAGTAATTATAGACTCCAAGAAGAAGAATGAACTACAGGTGTAAACATGCCTTAAGAAATTATAGGACTCCAAGAAGAAGAATGAACTACAGGTGTAATACATGCCTTAAGAAATTATAGGACTCCAAGAAGAAGAATGAACTACAGGTGTAATACATGGCTTAAGTAATTAAAGGACTCCAAGAAGAAGAATGAACTACAGGTGTAATACATGCCTTAAGAAATTATAGGACTCCAAGAAGAAGAATGAACTACAGGTGTAATACATGCCTTAAGAAATTATAGGACTCCAAGAAGAAGAATGAACTACAGGTGTAATACATGGCTTAAGTAATTAAAGGACTCCAAGAAGAAGAATGAACTACAAGTGTAATACATGGCTTAAGTAATTATAGACTCCAAGAAGAAGAATGAACTACAAGTGTAATACATGCCTTAAGAAATTATAGGACTCCAAGAAGAAGAATGAACTACAAGTGTAATACATGGCTTAAGTAATTATAGACTCCAAGAAGAAGAATGAACTACAGGTGTAAACATGCCTTAAGAAATTATAGGACTCCAAGAAGAAGAATGAACTACAAGTGTAATACATGCCTTAAGAAATTATAGGACTCCAAGAAGAAGAATGAACTACAGGTGTAATACATGGCTTCAGAAATTATAGGACTCCAAGAAGAAGAATGAACTACAGGTGTAATACATGCCTTAAGAAATGCAAGACTCAAAGAAGAAGAAGAATGAACTAAAGGTGTAATGCATGGCTGAAGAAATTATAAAAATGAAAAGTATAATATGTGGTTTAAGAAATATAGGACAACCTTGTCATGTTTACGCTGAACAGTCTCAATTTCTTTGTCCCGCTTTGCTACTGCTTTCACAAAAGGTTTGGCTGTCTTCAGTTCTGATAGTGGAGTGGGGTTCAGGATGGATACTTCTGCTGTTAACAGGAAACATTCAAAAATTTACTTTCCATATGCTACTACATTTTTACCACACTTACAAAATATAAATTATACACATAAATTTAGGTAAAATGAATATTATCACAAAGAAGTATACATAAAGCACCAACCAAATCTACAGAATTGATGTGCACAATGTGTTGTTAATTTATTCATGCCACTCAAATAAAAACAGTGTACATTTAGACTGTACTCCAATAATTTTGTATCAGAACAAGGAAGGTCATCTTTAGTGGATTTTCAGGATTCTCTTCTTTTCAGGCCAGCTCTCTGTGATCGCCCCCCCCCCCTCCCCCCAAATCCCAGTTATGCTAACAATTTGAGGTATTCTTAATAAGGGCATCTAGCATTGATCCATCCTAAATGGTTTAATCCACTGCCATGGATGTTTACAGCTATCTCATCTACTAACTGTTGCAGAACCCAAAACTTATAAAAGACCATTATCGTAAATTCTTCCTTGATTTATAAACTTCTGCAGTATCCTCGGTTGTATTGAATCAATGCTTATAAGATGCTGTGTACCTCATTCTCTGAAATCATGGGTTCATATTACAGACTGCTTTATTTGGTCTACGAATGCAATTTTTAAAGATCCCTGGGGATGCTTGCTAGAGCAACGCAGTCTATTGTTTGCAACACTTAAAAGATGACAAGCCATTCTGTAGGGAGACCAAGCCATTCTGTAGGGAGACCAAGCCATTCTGTAGGGAGACCAAGCCATTCTGTAGGGAGACCAAGCCATTCTGTAGGGAGACCAAGCCATTCTGTAGGGAGACCAAGCCATTCTGTAGGGAGACCAAGCCATTCTGTAGGGAGACCAAGCCATTCTGTAGGGAGACCAAGCCATTCTGTAGGGAGACCAAGCCATATGGAATCAAACCCAGATGAAGTTGATACACTCAATTCTAAACCTTTCTTTATGATTGTTTATTGAATAACACTAGACTGCATTCACTGTGACTTGTTCAGGTGGCTGTCAACAGTCTTATTTATATGAGTGGCATTTTCTTTTTCACTTTGTGTGCTCTGAAAAAACAGAATAATTCCACCAAAGTTAAGACCCTTTGACTGCTCCAGTTCACCTTGTTTTGCATAATCTGAAAATGTTTTTCTTACAATATTTCATGTGGAACATGATGTTCCTCTTCATCTCTGCTGTCCCTCCCAAGTCTTACAAAATGCTATGATTCCAGGCGATAATTCTGCAGAATGGACTATCCAGTCATAAGACAACAATCTTTTAGTTACTTCTGACAATGCTTGGTATTTGTTGCAGCGTTACCATTTCTTGCTTTTTTATGGGTCACAGAAGCATGCAAGCAAAATGGGCATTTATTACAAGTTATTTTGTAGAGTAATCTTAAAATCTGGTTTAACGCCACTCCCCACCTCCCTTCTCCCCACCTCCCTTCTCCACACCTCCCTTCTCCCCACAGGCAAGATTGTTTCCCAACCAGCACAGATCTGGGATCACTCCGCTTTACCAGAGTAATTATTATAAAGGAAAAACAAGTGATGAGGAAGAGAACTGGTCACCCCACAACTGTTATGGCCTGAAATAAGCAAAAGCCTAATACATCACTTCCCAACTAAAAGCCACTATTTATACCTTTAAGCACAGCAAATAGAGAAATTGCCTCGAGATGTGCCAAAGCTAATCAAGTAATTGTGCAACTATCTCCCCTGTTGACACACAAGCAGATACCCCGGAGTGCTAAAGTGAACCTTATCAGAACATTTTTTGGCCAACACTATGTTATCAGTACCAAACGTGGAAACTTACATCCTTTAATGAATGTAGAATTGTACAACAGAGATGTAATGCCTTAGAAGAGCTGCATGAGTTTCAAGGAAAGACTCAATACGAAACCATAAAATCAGACAAATGCTAGGAATAAAGCCAGTTCTACAAGTCATCAAAGAACAACAAATGAAATGGTTTGGACATCTAACAAGAATGCCCTGGTACTATCTCCCACAGAAAGCCACATTGAAATGTTACAACTGGCACAGAGTGTGGGGAAGAACTAGGAAAATAAGGAGTGATGGCATAAAGAACAGCTTTACAGAAATGATCATCAATCTTAAAAGTGCTTTTGACAGAGCTCATCAATGAGCGTTACATCTTCCCCAACACTTCACTGAAGTACAGACATATTTCCATGGCACATGGTACTAGGGATAAGTCCAGCGTACCAACTGGAAAGTACTGCCATAATTATGATGCAGAAACTCAAGCCATCAAGATAGCGACAGAGAAACTGCTAAATACCAATCTTGGCTCACCAGTATATGGTAATGCTTTCAGATGCTAAATCCGTTCTTGAAGCACTCCAATCTAGGAAACTACCAGAATTGCAAACACTGCTGAGACAACTCAGCCTTAAGCGAAGTGTTGTAATGCACTGGATACCATCACATTGTGGAGTGCCTGGAAATGAGAAAGCTGATCAACTGGCAGGAGAAGATGCGACAAAGGACACCCAGATGTACCAGTCACATACCACCAAAAGAAAAGAATCATTAAATCAATCAGGAAGCCACCAGCCCCAGCACAAGACGGCTATTTTATTACGGACAGATCAGAACTTGTCATTATCCTCTGCCTCAGAACAGGGCACAACCGATTATGTAACCACATGTACACAAAAATTCAAGATAGGCGTATCAGCCATGTGCACCTGTGGAAAGGTGCTCCAGACAGCAGAGCATGTACTCCAGGACTGCACCAAATTTGACACATTAAGGCAAACCTTTTGGCCAGAAAGAACAACAGTGGAACGTCAACTCTGTGGACCACTGAATGAATTAACAACAGTGAAATTTATACAAGAGACAAAATTGCTTAATTGCTGATATAGACAACTTATTTCAGGCGAACGAAAGAAGAAGAAGAAGACTGAGGTACAGGGTGGAAGAGAGGAAGGAGAAGAACAACAATTAAATACTCTTTAGCATTTACACTAGAATCATTAAAAGTTATGAAGATTCTATTATTGGCAGTCACAGTCTCTTACTACTACATTATCTTTCTGCAGAAAATACCCTTGCGATTAGGTTAATGTTACATGCATGTCTTTCAACTAAGATTTGAATAGCTGTCTGTCTCTATTATTTATCTCTTGTTGAATTCATCCATATATTTCCAGTTTTCACAGTTATTGTTAAACACAGTTAGTAAACACATTCTTAATATCAAATGTTGTAAACATGCAGAATGTTGGTCTGTGTGTGCATTATGTTATAATGATTGTTGCCAAAACATTGGACATTTTTATGTGTGCTCAGTCCTCCACTGCAGAGTACCTATACTGACCTCTCCATGTAAATTTGGCTTATGTTTCTGATCCTGACCTCAAAGGCACAACAGACAAGCTTCATCAGGCATCACAGACATGCTTCATCAGGCATCGCAGACATGCTTCATCAGGCAACGCAGACATGCTTCACCAGGCAACGCAGACATGCTTTACCAGGCACCACAGACATCCTTCACCAGGCACTGCAGACATGCTTTACCAGGCACTGCAGACATGCTTCACCAGGCACCCCAGACATGCTTCACCAGGCACTACAGACATCCTTCACCAGGCAACACAGACATGCTAAACTAGGCGTCACAGACACGTTTCACCGGGCACCACAGACATGTTTCACCAGGCACCACAGACATGTTTCACCAGGCACCACAGACATGTTTCACCAGGCGACACAAACATGCTTCACCAGGCACCCTAGACATGCTTCACCAGGCACTACAGACATGTTTCACCAGGCACCACAGACATGCTTCACTAGGCACCACAGACATGCTTCACCAGGCACCACAGACATGCTTCCCCAGGCACCACAGACATGCTTCACCAGGCACTACAGACATCCTTCACCAGGCAACACAGACATGCTTCACTAGGCACCATAGACATGTTTCACTAGGCACCACAGACATGCTTCCCCAGGCACTGCAGACATGCTTCACCAGGCACTACAGACATGTTTTGCCAGGCACCACAGACATGCTTCACTTGGCACCACAGACATGCTTCACTTGGCACCACAGACATGCTTCACTAGGCACTGCTTGAAGACATATTGTCAGGTCAGTCTCAGAGACTCTTCATCACGTGTACATGTGTCTGTGTACATGCGTATGACTGCAATAACTGTGTATGTGTTTGTGTCAGTTAACTGTGTGTGTATGCATGTATACAAAAACTATTATAAGGGAAGTCAATGCATTTTTTCTAGAGAAAAACCATTGGAAACACTGCCAACAATGTCCAATTGAACAACAAAATTTAAAGACAAAACATCTAAAGCAACATTTCATACATAATCTGAAGAACAGGCCACAAACAACACTTACTAGATCCACTACTAGCCTGAGAGGTGGCAGACTGTGAACTCTCCTGCTTAGAAACAGGAAGATGAGTCTGTGAGCCTGTTCTATTGAATGAAGGCTTGGATTGATTGCCATCTGTGTTGTCAGAGTTAGGGAGCGGGTTCAAGCTCACATTTGGAGTACGGGTTATGACAGAGTTTTGCCGTTTGTTGCCACTGCCAGGTTGTTCTGCTGGTGGTCCTGTGACACTGACTGCTGTATAATTGACTGCAGTCTGGTCATTCTCCACCTGACTGACTGTAGTTGTAATTATAGTTATGTCCTGCTCTGGAGCCTGGAGACACACAGCACATTATAACTGGTTAAAAACTACAGTGTAAAATTTAAAAAAAAAATCCATTTGGGAAAGGAAGTGATTTTTTTTAAACAACACAAACTGTTTTAGACTCAAGAAGTAGTTACCAATATCAAATGTAAATCAAATTCTTTCATTCTAAGCAAATGATGCTTATGCTTACTATAGCATGTTAGTTTATGTATTGCTCTCAAAACAGTTCAGGAATAACTTTCTGGTCTCATGTTGTAATGCTATATTCTGCTGCTGTCAATGTATTTCTAATGTTAAATAATTATTTATTTACAATCTGTGAACCTTTTTTTGCAAGTCAAATAAAGGTTTTACTGAACTTTTCACAAGTGTTTACATTTCATTAGTGTTCAGGTTACTAATATAATTATTCTGTACATGTTTAAAGACTAAGTTACAAATCATTTCAACATTAACAGAAATGCCATGATAGATGCTGCTGTAAACAAATGAAGTACTCAGTGTTTGAAGTGTGCTGGTCCGTTTCCTTACTGGCTGCAGCTACAAAAAAACTGGAAACATCTCTGGCACCAATTTTATCAAGCTCGTAAATTCCAGGCTGCACAAGTGAGGTGGGGGAGGGGGGTTGATGGAAGGAGGAGAAGGGGGGGGGGGGGGGGGGGGTCACCATTACTGAAGTCAAGCACATCATATTTATAGGCACTTTATTTATGAGTATGCTACCAGACTCACAAAATGATCACATCTTTCACAGTTTGATTACTCACTTTGGTGTGAACTGCTGAGTTTTTCTGAAATGGAAAATTTGAAAAAAATCACACATTAATTTTGTGTTAATAACCTAATAAGTACTAGGAGTTTAAAATGAATCTTGTGTAAATGTTCTTGGTAAAAAGGATTGAACACATATGTTGAATGTTGAATCAAGAATTGACATCACAGCACTCGGGACACCCCCATAAGCACTCTGTCCCCATCTTCAGCAGCAAAACGATGAGTTCCATTCTGATGATACCATTAACTGTCTGACTGTATATTGCTCTTGCCCTTGCCTTGAGTGGTGAGCGTCGGTCAAATAGCCTGGTAACTCCCTGCAGCATCAGCACCACACTGTTCACTGACTCCCACAAGGCCCTCACAATAACTAATTTGTCATTCATCAATTCAACACCAAGTGTTGCAGAACCACCCGGTCTATCTGCCCATTCCTTTCCCAGTACACCGGCTGACCTGAAAAAAATATCCAAAGGATGCCAACTACCCAGGACCTCTAAAGTGATGCTTGCCACTCTGCATGGAGCATGCCTGTCTTCACTTTTCTCAACATGCTTTGTGAGTCAGTTACAATTACGGCATGTGTGTACAGCTGATTCCCAAGCTAGTGGAAGACAGCAGTGACTGCCCCCACCTCTATTCTCAAACTATACGTTGTGATATTATAATCTAGACTCTGTTTCACTGGGCGATGTCCATGTGCCTTTGCTATGAACCCTCATGTACTTCATTGGCCCCTCAGTGCAGAGCTATCTATAATTACATCACTTGGGCGCGAATTGTCAAAAATCATTTGTTGAACCTCTGATTCTGCAGCACCAGGGGCCAGTCCCTGCATAAGAACATGAATGGAAACAAAAGGCATGGATAACATCTGTAACTCTTACAATAAAAAAAGAAAGAAAAAGCAAAATAAGGGCAGACAGTAGAAACAATTATTAATAAACTACGAACATTCATTAACTGTGCTTGTGCACAATAAAGGGAGCTAAATAGTATGTTAGAATCATGAATTTTTAGCTTTTGGTGAGAACTGGCCAGGTTACAATGAATCAGGAGGTGAAGAAAAGATGGTCAATTCTTCTACTACATGAACCCACTGTGTTTAGCTAGTTCTCTCTGGCAATGTTTTTGTTTTAACTCATAAAGACTCAATGACTGTACTGTCATGTACATATTAAAAAGCTGCCGTAGCACCTGCCTAGAACTAAAGGCAAATGTTGAATATAATGTTCTCCAGACCCCATCTACAGTGGCTAACAGTTTCATTACAGTGATCTCAACAAAGGCAGCATGTAGCTTCTGTGTGCATGAGATTCTGGCCATTTTCAAATATCTATTCAGTTATCTTCATGACCTTGGAGTCAAGCTTGGTGAAGCACGTCTGTGCCATGTTGAATCTCAAGACAGCAGACATCAAAGTCTATTTCTTGTGTGAACAATCAGTAGAGGTGCCTTGGAGTGGCGGCTGTATCAGAAGACTGAGTACACATAGGAATGCCCAATATGCAGCGATATCAATAACATAACATCATCACTTGCATATTACCCACAACATTATTTGTTCTGATCAAAGATAACATCATCACTTGCATAAACATTCTCTACAACATTATTGTTTCTGATCAAAGATCACATGATCACTTGAACACACATTCTCTGCGACATTATTGTTTCCAATCAAAGATCACATCATCACATGAACAAAAATTCTCTACAACAATATTTGTTCTGATCAAAGATTACATCATCACTTGCACCAACTTTATCTACAACAATATTTGTTCTGATCAAAGATCACATCATTATTAATTTTTGAAAACAGAGTATTAGGATGAATCTTTAGAATGGAGAGTGAGAAGCAACAACGAAATTCACAATCTATTTAAATCACCACTATCACTGGCATCATGAAAGCTCATTTACTGAAATGGCTTGGGTATATTGATAGAATGTCAAAGGACAGAGAGGTTAAAAACTATATACACATGGGAGCTGAATGGTCCTAGACCACAAGGCAGACCAAGAAGATGATGGAGAGATAATGTCCAGACAGACCGACAAACACTTAGTGTCACCAACAGGAAAGAGAAAGCCAACCAGAGAGATGAATGGAGGTGGGTGATATCTGCAGCAATGAACCTCATGGGCTCAGAACGCTGAAGAAAAAAGTTTACATCATCACTTGAACAAACACTCTCTACAACATTATTTGTTCTGATCAAAGATCACATCTTCACAGTAACAAACATTCTCTACAACATTATTGGTGCTGATCAAAGATCACATCTTCACTTGAACAAACATTCTCTACAACATTTTTTGTTCTGATGAAAGATCACATGATCACTTACACAAAGATACTGGACATTATTTGTTCTGATGAAAGATCACATCATCCCTTGCACAAAGATACTGGACATTATTTGTTCTGATGAAAGATCACATCATCCCTTGCACAAAGATACTGGACATTATTTGTTCTGATGAAACATTACATGATCACTTGCACAAAGATACTAGACATTATTTGTTCTGATGAAAGATCACATCATCCCTTGCACAAAGATACTGGACATTATTTGTTCTGATGAAACATTACATGATCACTTGCACAAAGTTACTGGACATTATTTGTTCTGATGAAACATTACATGATCACTTGCACAAAGTTACTGGACATTATTTGTTCTGATGAAACATCACATGATCACTTACACAAAGATACTGGACATTATTTGTTCTGATGAAAGATCACATGATCACTTGCACAAAGATACTGGACATTATTTGCACTGAACAAAGATGACAATATCAACTATTCTGACACTCACCTCCTCCTCAAAGTCCTGTGTGAGAATCTCCAGTTGCTGTGAGTGCTTTTCCAGCAGGTTCGACTGATAAGCAATTGGGTTTGACAGGGCATCCGCATATGCTGTCACAAAGAGACAGACAGACAAGAACATTACACATACTCCAAAGAACAGAAATAGTAGAATATGTCATATAACAAGTTGTTTGTGGGCAGAAAACAGCACGTAAGTTTTATTGACTGTTAGCCCCTGTTCAAGCCATTAGTAAATTGAGAGATATGGTGCTATAAATAATTGTTAAATGCCTTTATTGGGTATCTATTTAACATAAAACAACACATTTTATGAAGAGAAGAAAAAATATAAAGTTTTAAGATTTTATTAACTTTCATGAGAAATGTATACTTTAGGCATAAAATGGTTAATTCATTTCATATATATTATTCACCCTAATACAGCTTTTGTGAAAACATTAATGATTTTCCTTCATACACATTTCTTTGTAAGATGATGTTAAATGCATTTTCTCCTGAATTAGGCAAAAACACACGTGTATGCAGGTATTCCCTTTAACTGAATAATACCAAAGGAACATATTCCAGCATTCATTGTGTCTAATTTTTTTCTGTGTCATTCATAAAGGGAGAACCCTATCT